GCAAGCTCTTAATACAGTACTGTCTGGCACATACTAGGTGCTCAATAAATGTTAGAACTTCTCACTGTTATGGTTAGACAACTATGTTTATTTGCTATTGTCACCTAAGAGGAAAGGAGGGACAAGTGAAAGAAAAAGGATAAAACAGTTCAGCCGAAATACTTTTCTTGAAAATCCAGCTTTCTCTTAGTTCTAACATCATATTTGTCAGTGATTAATTATATTGCTAATTTTTATTTTTAGTAATGAAATTGTATTTGTATTTTTATAGGTAGGAGTACCCGAGGGATTCTCTTAATTCTGGGAAGTGATTTGGTGAAATAATTTCCTAGAAAGCTTTTCCGAAGTTTTTTGGTAGATGACTTAATGAAGTTACTTCTTTCATCCTCCTATTTTTAACCTTTTTCTTACAAAATAGGTTCTTATCCTTTCCCAGCTCTCACTTGTATTTAATACTGAATACTCTTAAAATAAACTGTTATACATAGCAGATAAATTTTAGGGACGTCATTTGAACTATTGTTCCATCAACACTACCTGTTACTTCTGTTCACAATGGCAAAATTGTAGCTTAACACCCATAGAGTAGTGTAAAATGTTATTATTTCCCTGCTAATGAAGTGTGGCATTAGGATAGCTTCTGGTTTACTGGCATGGTGTTTTCCACACTGTCCTTTTAAACATTTTCTTTTAGCAAATGGTGGGATTTTAATTTTAATATTTATCACTAGTTAAGGATTGAAATATCTTAAGTTTATTTATAGGTGGAATTTGTATTCTAGTATTCTATACTATCTTCTAAGACATAATGAAGCTCTTAAAAAATGAAGTTGATATTTATGAAAGGGACCAAATTAAGAGCAGATCAGAAGATTTAAAAATGTGTGTGCCAGGTGTAACTGTCCTGACAGTTCTCTTCCTTATATACATTTTATTAAGGATTTTCTTGCCCTGGCTGGTGTGACTCAGTTAGTTGGTTTGAGTGTCATCCTGTAGACCAATTGTTGGTTGTGGGTTCAATTCCTGGTCAGTGCACATACACCTAGGTTGCAGGTTCAATCCCCAGTTGCGGCTCATTCAAGAAGGTGGCCAGTCAACATTTCCCTCTCACATCAGTGTTTCTCTCCCTCCCCTCTCTCTATCTCTCCCCCCACACTTTCTGCTTCCTCTGAAAGCAATGAAAAAAAATAGAATTTTCTTTCATTAAGACACACTTTATTCTTTGGACCAACCTCGCATTTTCATTTATACTATTGGTTGAAAAAATACTTTTTGATGGATGTCTTAGCATTGAACTTCCATACTACTTCATAATTACCTGCTATGGTCTTTCTGTTTTGCTAGGTGTGTTTCTTTGGAAGAAGAGGGATTGTATATTATTCATCACTCCAGGCCCAGCTACCCCCGACCCCAATGTGTGACACACAGTAAACATTCAAAAGTCTTTATTGGATAAAATTGGATTAGTGAATAATTAGTAAACCTTTATAGAGCACCTAATGAATTCTGCATATGGTGCAAAGTTGTAGGCATTCAAAGACATTGTATCTCAAGGTGTTTACAGTCTAGTCAAGTCCAGCAGAGACTTGTTCATTATCAACACTCAGTGGTGTTTATGGAGGTATGAAAGGCAAGGTGGAAGAAGGGAAGAAAGGGAAGGAAAATGCATGTAATGTTCTTTAATATCTCCAAGGAAACCAGTACAGTTACCAAAGAAACCTCTGAGAACTTGAAAAGCTGGCTTTATAAATGAATGAAATATTATTATTCCAAAATCTATTTCAGCCTACACTAAATGATCTAAGTAGAAGGATCTGCAAAGAAATGAACTGGTGGAGCCATCATAGAGTTTCTCTTTTGCTCCCTAAGGAAGCAAATTATTCTTTTAATCTGTTGATTACTAATATAAAATGGATGGTGCTAGTGTCAGATCATTCTTTAAAGCACACCCAGCAGGATCTTTGCTTGAAAATATTTTGTCAACATGTAGTTTAAATTTGAAAGAAGTGAACCACAAATCTAAAAAACATTATGTGATCAGGCTTTGTACTGATGCAGCCTGGCTTGTTCTCTGGTTGATTTGATCCACTTAGTGCTCTTCTTTGCTGGAAATTAAAATCTCTTTGTTGTTTTTATCGAAATTATAAGCAGATCAGTGGCTTACATGGAATCTGAAGTTCTAAACCTTATTTTAAATTCAAATTGTCTAGTTCTTCAGCTACTTGACGTTTTTATACTCAGGGTCATGAACAAAGTAGCTTGGATTATTCTATTCAAGCAATTGCAACTTGAAACACCTCATATATCAGTTTTCCTGTGATGAGCATCATAAATGAGAACTATCACCAGATGTCCATATTGCTTCTTGAAAATATGAAAGCTGAGATTATATTAATATGCCAAGATAGAACTTGTCTAATTAAAATGGGTGGAAAGTACTATCCCAATGAAGTAGGAAATACCTCAGTGTCACAATGCATTGGGTAGGAAATGATAGCATTCCACCTTTCTCACTTAGTTGTTAAATGGTCACTTAGCCACTTAGAACTGCAGTCATATTATACCACTTTTGCCTAATAGCATCCTAAATGATGGAGAATTTCTAGATGTCTGTCCACAATTATGCTAAAATCTACATACATAACCTGGTAGTATGGTCCCATACTGCCACATTTACCTCATTTAAGAGAAACTATAAAGCAATTTATATATGAAAACATGATCATAAAATACTCATTAATTAAATGGTTTCGCCATACCCAAGAATGCATGCTATCATCTGGTAGTTAATATCCAGTTTTTCAGAGATGTGAACAATTTAATCTTCTTGATGACTTAGCAGGTAACAAAAGTTGGCGCTTGCTTTTCAGGTATGACAGTTTAGTACATTCACTATCCAATATCTACCTGTGTATAGTTGACATAGTTACAATTGCTGTCCTGATTATATTGTCTGATTAATGTTGAATCTGGAATTTGTATTCAATTAAATCTTCACAGAGCTTCTTATAGTACTAAAATACTTACCTCAAGCCCAAGTCATGACTTCTGGCTTATGAGTTATAACCTACCTTTGTGGAACTATTAAAATTAACCATTAAAGCTCTGACTGGTGTGGTTTAGTTGGGTGGGTGTTGTTCCACAAACTGAAAGCTTGCCAGTTTGATTCCCAGTCAATGTGCATGGGTTGTGGGTTTGGTCTGTAGTAGGGGTACATGAGAGAGACAACTGATTGATGTTTCTCTCATAAATTCATGTCTTTCTCTCTCCTCTTCCCTTTCTTTAAAAATAAATTAAATCTTTTAAAAAATTAAACATTTAGGATTTATAAAATAATGTTACGGCTCTAGAAAATTTCCTTTTCTAATTATGTTTATATTTCTGGTTTTTTATTGTTTAGAAATTAATGACAATATGTCTTTCCATTCAAATGCCTAGTTTTTAAATATGTTATCAATATGGGTTTTTCTGTCAGACTAATAGATTATCTTAGTAAATAACTCAATTGATAGAAAGAGATCTTTAGAAATTTTTCTTGTGTACACATCTGAGCCTCTGGGAATTAAATACTGGCATCAGGATTAGGTTCAGAATTTAACCAAAAATAAATTAAAAATAGCCATCTTAACTTCCAAACGCTTGCACAAAAAGTAAAATCTCCTGAGAAACAGAAAAACATAATAAAATCAGTAACTATCAGTGATGTTACCTATTGTTCTCCTTGATCATAAGTATTTCTCATTTTATTCAGAGATATATGCTTCTGTTGATGAAATTGCTAGTGGACAAGAACTTAAAAATTAACCCCTCAAAATGTAATCTGTCCTATTTAAAAAATAGTAACCTAGATAATTTTTATGTAGGAGTACATATTAAAATACTTCATGTTCCATCTTACACAGGAGTGGGACAAGATTTCACCTTTTTATATAGAAATAGTTCTCAGCCCCTATTAATGTCCTCCCAGAGTCTTCTTTTCTCAGCTTTCTGAAGCAAACAAGAAGTTCCCTCTAAAACAGCCAAGTGCTCTCTGAAATTTTCTCTTCATATTTCTACAAAGCACTCTGAAATCTATTTGCTCTCCCAGCTAGGAGTTTCCCATCCCTGATGTTACTTAAGCAACAACAGCAAAAAAACCCACAAAAAATAGTAATAAACAAAATAGCATAGAAAATTCCAGGGTAGAGCAACAGCCATTTAAAGATCCAGGGAAAAGTTTAAAGATACAAAGTTAGGGAACTATCCCTCATTATCTAATTTTTTTCTTACAAAAAATGTCAGAAGGAATCTCATCACTGATGCTTGGACTATTAGCAGTGCAACTTAGGCAAGTTACTTTGACTTTACTTTTCCTTCTCTATAAAGGTAGGGTATAATACAGAACAAGGTTGTTTTATGTAATGACATTTTGGTCAATGATGAACTTTTATGTATGATGGTGGTCCCATAAGACTATAAGGGAGCAAAAAAAAACCTATCAGCTCCATTGAAGCTACAGTAATGTCATAGTGCCAAGGTTGCAAACACCAATAAGATTGTGGATAAGATGGCAAACAACTTTAACTTGGGTGTGAAAGAGGATGACATTCAGGAGTTCTGAGAGACTACTGAGAGGTTGTTGGAACTAGAATAAGAACTGAAGAAGAAGCAAGAGAAAAGGAAACTGCAAGAGAAGAAAAAGAATAACCCCAAGACAATTCACAGTGAAGGGTTTAGCAGAAGCCTTTACAGACCTCAACAAACTAACTAAAGAACATGTATGAATGACCCATGGATATGGACAACAGTGTGGGAATTAACTGTGGGAATGGGGGGTGTGGAATGGGCAGAGAAGGGAAAAGGGGGGAAATTGGGACTACTGTAATAGAATAAAAGTTTTTTTAAAAACCTTTAAAAATATGTATAATTTGTGTATTAAGTATTTGAAGGTAAATTACTCCTTATAGAATTTTTTAAAATTGAAAACATGGACCTCAACACCAAATTATTTTCATTAATAGAGAGGACTGTCCATGATGCATTATCTGCTTATAAACAATTTATAATGAAGAAAAGGAAACAAATCAAGAAAACTACCCTGATGTATTTATGAAAAGAGTGACACCTCCTCAAGAAGACTTTAAGGTGGGTTCTTCAGAACATAATTTTAGAAGTAGGCGTTTTTATCCTAGATGACAGGTCCATGCCTGTTATGTGCCCCTGAAGACCTGGAAGTGGGACAAGAGAGGAGGTGGAAGACAGTGATATTGATGATCCTGGCCTTGTGTAGGGCTGGGCTAATGTCTGTGTTTGTGTTTTAGCTTTTAACAAAAATGTTTTAATTTCTAACAGTTAAAAAAATTTAACTTTAAAAATATAAAAAAGCTCCCACCCACAATGCTACCCCATTTAGGTTTTGTCCATGGATCCTTTATACATGTTCTTTGATGACCCTAGGATTGAGAGTAGGAGGTGGGGGTATGTGGGGTAAGGGAAAATAGAGACAACTGTATTTGGACATTAATAAAAAATGATTAAAAAATACAAAAAGGCTTATAAAATATAAGGATATAAAGAAGTAAAATGCTTTGTACAGGTGTACACTGTGTTTGTGTTTTAAGCTAACTGTCCTTAAAAAAGAGTTGAAAAGTTAAAAAAATTAAAAATATATAAAGTAGCAATGTTATGGTAAGTTAAGGTTAATTTGTTATTGAGGAAAGAAAAATATTTTAAAATAAATTTAGTGTAGCTTAAGTGTACAATGTTTATAAAGTCTACAGTAGTGGACAGTAATGGCCTAAGCCTTCACATTTACTTACTGACCACTCACTCACTGATTCACCAGAGGAAGTTCTGCAAACTCCACTGATGATAAGTGTCCTATACATGTGTGCCATTTTCTATGGAAACAGGTTACCGCTGCTGTTTTTGTGATCTTCTGTGGCTGTGTTGGCTGGACACTAGAGAAGAATTTAAAAGCTCTCTCTCAGCCTGTTCTCCCATTGCACCAGACTGCACTTAACCTTAATGATTCATGACAGACTTTGATCTTCCCAGGTGTTCCTCAGTTTTTATGTTACTAATACTTTCTGTCTGTGCATCCTCTAGCTTCTGTAGTTTCTCCAAATGTTGACTTTGAGAAGGAAAGTCAGCATTGGATTAGATCCACCATCTCATCAAAACTGAAAGATTCCCTCAACAGTGTTTTACATGGACTTATGCCTTCTTCCTAAAACTCTCTTGACTTACATTCCTGATTACACGTTTATTAGGAGCTGCTTGTTTTTCTCCTTCAGAGAGTCCCCTTCTGCTCACTTCTGTTCTCTGCCAGGTCCTGCTCTCTTCTCATGCTCCACCTCCTCTGGTTGATGATCTCATCTTCTTTAAAGACCTCAGTTACCACCTACATGCTGAAGGTACTTAACTGTTTATTTTCAGCTGCAGACCCTGCTGCCCTCTAGACTCACATAGCTAACTCAGCATTGGACATGATGAAATAAATGCAAAACACACCCAGGGCTAACCTCATTCTACTCCTGACAACTTCCTCTGAGTTGCTTCTATCTGTGAGACTTCCACAAAGCCAGAATCTGAGTGTTCTTGACCTCTCCATCATACCTGACATGTAATTAATTGCCAACTTCTGTTGATTCTGCCTCTTCAACTCATCTGAGACTCATCCCCTTTTCTGTATTCTTACTTTAAGCCTTACTCCATGCCACTGTAATCACTCGTGTGATGCAAATGATCCTCCTGTTTCAATATCTCTCTCTTTCTCTCCCTGTTTTGTTCAGTATAGGTCCATTTCATTCAGTACAGTTTGGAGTGAAACCTTTAATTCAGAAGTTCTCAAACTTTTGGTCTCAGGCAACCTTTGCATTCTTAAAATTTACTGACAGCTCCAATTTGTTGAGAGAAATTTAAAACACAAGAATAACAAAGGCTCATGTTCTACAAGCCATCACCCCAGTGATTCCATTGCTCATTATGTAGCCTGCAGAAAACTCCACCTTACACTCTTAAGAAAATGAGAGTGAAAAGGTAAACAAGGCTTTACTCTTATTATGAAAATAATGTTGACCTCCATCAAGGTCTTGGGAAGCCCCCAGAGCTTTGTAGACCACACTTTGGGAACCACTGCTTGATTTATTCTTTGCTTTCCAGTTTAAATCACTTTAATGCCTAGCAATGGACTCTCAGAATGAAGTCTAAAAACTCCAGCAAGATGTATAAGACCCTTCTTGATCTTGCCTCTGCTCATCTCTCTAGACTTACCTCATGTGATGTCCCCAGTCTGAACTTCACTTCAGCCATACTGAAAGGCTGGCAGGTTTCAGCACTTGCCTTTTCCTCTCCCTTCTCCAGGTCATTGCTCTTGCTTTTCCCTGGGCCCAGCACGCCTGTCCTTATCCTGGATGCAGCTTCGTCTTCAACTTTGCTTAAAAGCTTCCTTGAAAACTAGGTCCATCCTCTGGTTTTCTTGAACTTAGCCTTATTTTAGCATTTATCCTTTTTGTGTGTGTGACACCTAGAACTGTGGAATATTTGCCTGTGGCTTATCTTTGTATGCCAGTGATAGATTAACCTAGAATCAGAGGACCAGAGGAGATATTATAGAAATTGCATGCGAAAGCTTTTGCGTATGTGAGTTTTTCTGGAGAGGGGTGCATAGCTTTTACCTTCGAAAGGAGTTGAGAATTCAAAAAAGCATCAGAACCATTTTACCATTAATGAATTGATTTCAGTGTGCAATGATTTATTTTATTTTTTATGAAAAGGAGTGAACTTAGGTATAAGATCAGTTGGTGTCCCAAGTTCCATTTTATGATAGCATATTTATACTTACTATGACTCTGTGAGAATTCTTGATTGAATTTGTAGACTTCTGTACTGTATGTAATGTAAATTGAGGATGTGAATCTTTGTAAGTCAGACTTCTATGCAAACAGACTTGGAAGGTAATTAGAGGCTAATGCTAATAAATCACATTTGTGATAGCCATAAGCTCAGAAAGCTATTTTGTAAGATCACATTTCAGTTGCTGATCAATTATGTAGACAAATAATTTAAAAAATTCATCAATAGTTTTCACATACTTACTAATAAATTGACTATTAGGTGTTTACTCAGTTAACTAATAAATTATTAATTAATTTGTGAATATATTATCAATTATTTGTTAAGTATGTTAAGTGCTTACTGTTTTGTTTGAATCTGAGAAATGTCTTTCATCAAAGGTGTGACTGCCTTATTTGGTGGCACAACAACATTAAAGGAAAAGTAAACATTTTAAAATAAAAATGAATGGGAAAAATGGGATTAAGTTTTTTGCATAATATTCTGTTTTTTTTCAGATTTCCCATTTGTTAACATTGTTGCCAAATTTGCTATAATATTCTTTTTAATGCTCATTTAAAAAGTATTACACTTGGATAATTTTACTTACAAGTTAGATTTATTTTCTTATTTTTATCACTCCTCTCTACCCAAGATATACACACTGGTACTCTTTATGGTAGGACATATTCTGGATTTATTAGAGCATAAAAGTGTTGTCGATCGATGGCTTCTTGCTTGGATTGTTGAATATCTATCTCTTGTTTTCTCTATTTTGAAAGTTCACCTCAACAAAGTCTGTTTTTTATTGAATTTCTAAGTCTAAATGTACATTTCCTCCAGCATCTATTTCATGTTTTGGGTAACTGTAAGATAAGTGATTATTTATACACTGACCCCACGGCCTGTGATTCAGTTTCGTAAGGTTAACTGGATTCCTTATGATTTTCGAACAACAAAAATAAGACCATTTTCAAGATTCTAGAAGAGACAAAGCAATGATAACACTATTATATTTGACTTAGTAATATGTTTTATATTTGCATTTGAATGTGAGGATGTCTGGTGTTTTGAGAATTATAGTAGTAATAAAAAATTTTTAAATAAGAGCAATTATACATGTTCATTATATTCTAGACCTTCATCTGCCAATATGGTAGCCCTTACCTACATGTAGCTAGTGGTCACTTGAAATGTGTTACCAGTGTCACATACTAAAATAATAATATTTTGGAGATATAAGATTACATACCTTCAATAAAATATATTATTAAAATTAGTTTAACCTGTTTTTCTTTTACCTTTTTAATGACTCTACTGGAATGTTTTAAATGAGTTGTATTATATGATTATTATAAAAATTATATGATATTGGTATAATAAATATCAATACCATAGTTATTATGATTGTTAATATAACAGTAACATAATAAAATGTATTATACAATGTTATCATATATATTTAAGTGATTACCCACTGAGCTCGGTACTTTATATGCATTTTAATCTTATTTGATTCTTACAGTTATTTTATGTGGCCTGTTTTTAATAGTTGCAGTTTTCCAAGAAAGGAATTGATAATCAGAGAGATTAAATATCTACCCTAGTGCTCATTCAGTACTCAAACCCAGCTGGCACTCCTAACCAGTAGGTACTAGGTACTTCTAACCTTTTTGATAGTATACCTCATCAGATTTTGTTTTGCCACCAGTGACAGCAATGTGATTAAATATGCTTCTTTATTTTTTTAAATCTTCATTTCTTACTTTGTGTTATAGCAATTTGAAAGTCTCATTTGTTTTTTATTTGTTTTTAAATGCATGCATTTAATTGATCTGATGGCTAAAACATATACTTCATAGCAATAATGTACAAAAAAGGGTATCATTGACTGCACTTACTAAATCATGATGCTCAGGGTTTTTTTATTCACTCATTAGTTATGCAGAGGTTTTTATTGATTTCAGCTAGTCCAGTTTTGTATCTGCTCACGTCATTAAATTGTTCTTGCAAACTAATTCGATAATGTTACATTTTTATCAAGTAGTTTCTACTAAAATTCTTTGTTTGAAAGAGTTTTTAAAGAGGCTTAAAATGATACAAGACTTTTTTAGAGGTGACACACAATTTTTTGAAGAAAAAATGGAAACAATTTTATATTTATCCTTAAAATTCCATGCATTAAAACATTTCCATATGTTTATCTTTGAAATCTCTGCAATCTCATTGCTAAAAATAACACCTTTACTTTAAAGGGACAGATTAATTGTGATTGTATTTTTTCCAAAAATATCTGCTAGGTATAGCAT